GTCATAATAAGTGGTTAGGAATGCCCCCTTTTTAACCTGTTCCGAGTAAATGTGTCTCATCTTATACCTGAGATGATTTAATTCAGTGGTTCTCAAAGTGCAGTCTCCAGACCTTGTTAGAAGTCTACTTCCTCATTTGCTAATCCAGAGCTGCTGAACCAGAAACACTAGGGATGGGCCCAGCAATCTGAGTTTTAAAAGCCCTCCATGTAATTTTCATGCCTGCTAAAGTTAGAAAACAACTGATTTACATTATGTTGATCAGTATACACTTTTTGATAACCATATCAAAGAGCAACTTTTTCCAATGTCTGATTCATAGTAGGCTCTCAGTAAATGTTACCTTGAAGATGAAAATATACTTAATTTGTAGTGCGATGCTCTGCGATGCTTCCTACCATATTTTAGTCCCTTTGTTACTGTATACTCAGGAATGAGTAGTTGCCCTCACAGATTATTCATTTTCTTTCCCTTTAAGATTAGCTCTTCAGCTTTTTATTTAATATGTAAGGTCATCTTCAGAGAAAATTGTTGTTTGATGCTTCGGTTTTTTAATTCTCTGGAGAGTTGCTGAGAAGCAAAGGTGGTTCCTGCAAATCATTTCTTTCCCATTTTTTAAAGAAGGATAGTCACTTCACTCAATAATGATTAGTTGATTAGAGAAATTTTTTTCTGGTCTCTTCTGCAGGACCAGCCAGAAGTTCAGTGGCCACAAGCTTGTTGTTTTAGGACTTCTAAGTTGGCTTTGAGTCTGCTTAGGCAGCAAATTCGCCCAAGAGCTTTAATAATCTCAGCTTTGCTTCAAGTGATATGTGAAAATGGAGAAAATCAGTCACAAAGAATTTTGAAGTGCAATAGGTTTATGGAGACAAACGGGCTCAGATTGTGACATGTGAATTTATATATATTATACACCCAATAATTTCTGACATGTGGAATCCAGAGGAATCATGGACTTCAGGTTTAGTGAGATTCATCTGGTACAAATTTCTTTTGCATCTTGTCTGGCAAATGACCTCTGGGGGCTGAAGAGCATCCCTGCATGTGGGCACACTGAGCTCTTGTGGGGAGGTTCCTAGCTTGGGGCATCAAAAGGGAGAGTTAGGGACTAGAGTTGGGTATGTATCCTATGGGAATGAAATAGCAGATCTGGGTAAAAACTTGCAATCCAGGGATCACTGAGATTTTGGAGCAGCCCCGCATGGAGGAGGATGGGGAGATAGGGCTAGTCAGGGGGTGCCGACACTCTACTAGGAAGACAAGGAAGTCTGGTGGGGTGGGAGAGAAGGGGGCCTGCAGGGAGCCAGGAATTGGAATAACTGTATGGCCTCCCTAGGTAGCATTCCTGTGATTCTAGTGGGGAAGTGGGGCAGAGAATGCATCTAGTGTAGAAGTGTGCTGAGTAGTGCTAACCACTACATGAGCAGCTCTTTTTTTTCCCTGAGTGAAGCCAGCCTCTGACATCACAGGCTTTGCACTGGTAGCTGGATTTGTACCTGCATCCTGGCCAGCACTGCTCAGCTTTGTCCCTCAAACTTCAGTGTGTTCATTCATTCAGAGGGAGGGGAGAATGGGACTGTATAGCCCAGGCCCTGGGAGGCAACCTGTATAGATGTGCATTTTGATGCCCACAAACAGTGAACACCTTCCAGGTGCCAAGCCCCATGGAGACATTAGGGACCAAGGGATGAGCAAGACTTCCTGCCCTCAGGGGGCTCCGAGCCTAGTGAAGGAGATAGGTATCTAAATAGGTTATTACAATTCAAAGCGATGATTTTTGTATGTGCAGAATGTTACCTGAATCAACAATTTTTTTCTGCCTGGGAAAGTCAGCTAAGTCCTCTTAGGAGAGAGGATACTATCACTTGGCCAGGTAGCAAAGAGGGGACGGGGCATTTCAGGCAAAAAGAAGAGTGTTTAAAGAAGTATGGTGCTCTCAGGAAGTGGCAAGTGGTCAGTTTTCACAGCAGCACAAGATATCTGAGGGTGGCTGGTGGACTTGAAGTTGGACAGGTGACACGGAATCAGATCACAAAGGACCTGTATCTTTCTGGGGGAATAGGGAGCAGAACTTTAAATAAGAGAGTGACGTGATCAGATTTATTTTAGAGAGATTATTCTAGCTCATTTGTGGAGGGTGAATTAGAGGGATAGTTGAAGCGTGAGTCAAAGTATAGTTGAGGCCTGATGAAGACACGACTCAGGGCCATTTCAAGGCAGCAGAGAAGCTGGGTTGACTTTTAGAGTCTTGACTGCCCAGATGACTTCTCTTTTTTAGTTCCATCCCCGTCTCTTTGAAGGCTCCTCTGGGTCCTGCTTCGACAGTTGCTGTCTTCCTAGTTGCTTCTGATACAGCAGAGAGATAGAACTTGAGCCTACATGCTTCTCCCACTTATTCCATGGAGCTTTTTTTCTCTCAAAGATTTTACCACACTTCCCTAACACTGTGCAACTGAAGCAAATTACAAAGGATTCTCTGTTAATGTGTTGGTAAATAAAGTCTGTCCTCAGATACCATCTCTTGTGATAAGCAATATTCTTTGGACTTCACATGTAATTTAAGTGGCTTACACCAAATACATTAATTAATTCATGAAACTTTTATTGACATTTGCTATGTGAAGGCACTGTTAGATTTACAGACAGGTAACTTCGTACTCGGTGTCCTCTTGCCAAGTGTACCAACTCTGCTTTATTCTTTATAGCTACAAAACAAGGAACTTCCTAAAAGCACCGGGTTCATTCATTCCTTCATTCATTTACTCACCCATCCATTAATCCACCAGTCAACAAATATTTGTTGAGCATCTACTTTGTGAAGGCAAAGCAAGGACATGAAGAACACATTAGGGGTAGAAATAAAAATAGAACAGAGTTTGGACGGACCTCATAGTTCCTGGAAAGCCCAGAATACAAAAATAACCTCAGGATTCTGGACAACATAATCTTTAATATTAGGGTCACTTTCATTATTAAAGAGCATCTTGGGTTAGGAAGTGAGGTTTTAGCTTCTTAGATAGCCTCTCCTATCTCTGCCTCCATGGTCCTCTGGTAGCTACTTGAAGTTTTTGATCACTGAACTGTGAAATTGTATTCATTAGGTCATGATCATTTTAAGAAATGAATAATGAAAATATTTTCCATTATCTTTCTGTAGGATTTTTCCCTCAGTCAAAAAGGGACTGAATAGCATGCTTTCCTAGGGAAGTATGATAGAAAATACTCAATGTACTCCGCCCACTTCCCAACTGATGGATCTGTTTGAAAATTGATCAGTTCCAGAATCAACTACTAGTTGTTTGTGAAGATGACAACGGTCATAAGAGACCATCTTAGAAGTGCTACAACCCAGACACATTTTCCTTCTTTGAAGTCTCCCTTTTAATTAAAAAGGCCCTTTCTTATTCTATAATCTCCCACTCTTCTGTGGAAAGAGCGCTTGCTGGGAGTTAGGTGACTTGATTTCCGATCCCAGCTGTGCTGCCGGCTACTTGTATGACTCTAGGCCAGGGACTGGCAAACTGTGGCTTGCTGCCTAATCTGGACTACAACCTGTTTTTGTAAATAAAGTTTTATTGGAACACAGCCATGATTATTTGTTTACTTATTGACTGTGGATCTTTCATGCTACAAGCAGAGATGAGTATTTGTAACAGAACTACATGGCCCACAGAGTGTAAAGTATTTCCTATTAGATTCTTTATAGAAAATATTTGCCAGGCCAGCATTAGGTGGTCATTATCTTACTTGAGTGTCAGCTTCTCCATCTGTAAATTTTGAGAACTGGATTAGGTTTTCCCCAGGGCCTGTGTCCTTGTTAGCATCCTATTACTCTCTAACTCTTCCTACAGAGAAGCCTCATCTCGTACAATCACTGTCCACTGGGTACAATGCTATTCATATTTTCATTCGCTTATTCAATTTATTAAGCATCTAATACTGGCAAGCCACTGTGGAACGTAACAAGTCTAAGAGACTCTCTGCCCTTCAGAAGCTTATAATCTATTTAGACGACAGAGTTACAAGGCTCAGAAGTTAAATTATAATAGAAAATAATAAGGATAACATTCCAAATTTAGTGATAATGCTTAAAGGAGCTCAGAGGAGAGAAGTCGCCATGGACTGAAATGATCAGGGAGAAACTGTAGGGGAAAGTGGGATTTTTTTAAAAAACCATCATCCCTGTAACTCCTGTAGAATACTAGATGTAGTGTCCCTTTAAAGCAGTAGTTTTCAAATTTCAGAGTGCATGAAAATCACTTAAATAACTAAGAAAAAATGCAAATTCCTGGAATCCAGCTTTATAGATTTTGATTATAAATCTAGGGTATGTCCCAGAAGTCTGCTTTTCCAATGAGCACCCCAGGTGATTCTGACATACATGGAGACTGCTACTCTGGAGAGATGGTAAGTTTCTGCCAAGGAATCTATGCTAGGTTTGGCTGAATCTTATTAAACCATGGATTTTATGTGACTAGGAGGGACTCCATTGTCCATGGAGCAATTCCTTCAATGACTTTCTCTCCTCTTCTAGGGAAGCTGAGATCTCCCAGACCAGGAAGAACAGCCTGAGGACTCCATTTCTTAAAGCCATTGAACTCCTTTAGATAAGTCCAGAGGGGAAATCTGAGATCAGTTCAGCTGCCATGTCTTTGGTAGCTGAGGGTAAATCATTGGAAAGAGTCAGAGTCAGGTAACCAACTACTTTCTTTAGCATTTGACTCTTGGTCCTTTTGTTGTGAGCTCCTTGTTTCTGCAAAGCTGGCTGGGATCAGCATAGTGGATCAGGAAAAAACCCTCAGTGGAAAGGTTGGGAGTCTCCAATCTCCATCCCAAATCATATCACTGATGACTTGAACATATCACCAGATACTCAAGATACAGAGGATGGATTCCACCCATGGGAGAATGACCCTCTGAAGAGAAGTTCAGAATTATCATCAAAGCCATTGGAGGGGACATCTGAGAGTCCAGTGGGTGATGTTTCAAAAGATCCTGTCATGCCTCCAGTCCGGAAGAGAAAGCTCGATCCACTTCCAAAAAGGCATAGACATCGTAGGAAGGTCTTATGGAAAAAGAGAATGAGAAAGAGCAAGAGGGAGGAGAAGGTGCAGACCCACTGCCCCAGCATTCTTCTAGCGCCTTTGGTACCACCACAAATTGAAGAAGACGAGGCAGTCGATAAAAAGCGGACCCTACTCAGTGCCAAGGAAGATGATCCCGACTGTCCCAATGAGGTAGGGATGGGGCAGTGGGTGGCAACACTCTGGGCTTGCTGATCTTCCATAGGAAAACAGATGACAACTCTTCACCTGGAGTGGGAGGAACTGGGGGTAAGCAGCTTGAGAAGCAAACTAGGATCCTCGGGCCCACATAGAGCATGAAAGAACTGGCTCAGAGTATGTGCGTCAGCACTGAGGGCTTTTAACCTCCTTCTTCTACTTGCAGGACAGATTACAGAGTCGGCAAGATAAAAGTGCTTGTGTAATGCATCAGGAATGTCAGGTCCAGCCCTGTGAGCTCTCAGTATCCCAGGAGCTCGGACCCTCTTCTCCTGCAGTAACATCCTTGGCATCACCACCGCTCTGCTTCGGTCGTTTTTTAAACTGTGTCTGCCAGACCTTCTCAAGGGCTAGAAAGAGGAAGTCTCCCAGAAGAGAGCACACCAAGCAGGCTGAGGCAGGAGGTGACGCTAAGGCTCTGAGACCTGGTCTGCTGCAGGTTCGGGGCAAGAACAAAATGCAGCCTCACTAAACCCTGTAGCAAGTTGAAATTGATTTAGGTTTCCCTTGCATTTAATTTTATAGTTTTCTCTATGTCTTTATTCCTGTCAGTTGAGTTCTTGTCTGTCAAAGCGAGAGCTCCTCTTAGGTTGAGATCCCCCAGCCTAAAGAGGTAGTAAAAGCAAAGTAACTTTGAGGCTTTTAATACTGTGTGCAGTAGTGGGATTGCTTCCTACTTCCTCCCATTATGCTGATGTGGGAGTCACACTGGAGCAGTGGTTCCCAACATTCATGCGTATTTTACTCATGTATTCATTTGGCTTAATTTTTGGCTAACTTCTCTGAGGATGGAAGCCATACAATTTCATCATTTTGAGTAATGTCTCCTGATAACGACCACCAAGTGGAGACTTCTTATGTCCCACTCCTCCCTCCCTTTTTTTTTTTTAATCTTTGGCTAAAGATTCATTTTGCATTCGTCATTTTCAGTACTTTGTTGAAATTCTGCCACTTTCTACTTGATTTGGCTATGCCTCGCTGGGTGGTGGTGGCTACTATTCTTGGACACGAAACCACTATTATTCTCCCATCTCTAAGCATTGCTTGGTTTTCTTTCTGTTGCTTGTTAGTAAGATACCTGGCTTCTGAAGCATGCCTCTGATGTTCTTTCTGCTTTGAAAACATAGTCGTACTATGTAGTGCTCCTTCCTTGTCATTCTTCAGCCGGACTCTCACAGAATCCTGAGTTCTTCTGAGAATCCTAAAGACAATAAGTATTTAAAAAAAAAGTTCAAAATCATTTCATTTCCTCCTTTTCCTGTGTGCTAGATTAATCCTCTTCCCAGGATATAAAATAAGAGTTTAAATTAATCTTATAGCCCCCTTTTGAGGAGGGAGTACATTTAAGAAAAATTTGAGTGTTTCTCTGTAGCTTTAATTACCTGTTGTTACTTCCTACTTGTCCCAGTTTCCCAACTCATATAAGGTTAATAAATAAAATTATACACATCAATAAATGTGTAAAATATCTGTGTAAGAAGGAAGTTGTATACTTTATTTTCTTCCTTCCTTAAGACTGACCCTAATGGTTACTGTATTAGAATTAGAGAAGATGACCAGCATGTTGGTTTTTTCTTACCTGGGACAGGGCTTTGAACTGTTGAGAGAATGCAGTTGGGAAGCGAATAGAACGAGTTGCAAGGGCAGTGGCAAAGATCCCAAAGACTGCCTTGGAGGTAACTGGTAAAGATCGGAATTGAAGAAGTCTTGTGGTGTGGTGTGTTGAGAATCTCAAGTTGGAATTGGAAATTTTGCAAAATGTCATCTCAGTGCTTGGAGTAAAATGAGGCTCCTTTCTAAAGTCATGCTTTGATACCTTTAGTTGTTTAAAAAGTCATTGATTTTTTGTTTTAGAGAGTATACAATTTTGACAGAGCTAATAGACCATTATAAATGGGCTCAAGCCATTACATGAAATTTCAAATTATCATAACTATATTTGTGTATAAGTATATATTTTCTCAATTTAATACAAGAAACGTACTCCCAGGCAAGGCGTAATATATGTAAAGTCTTGAGTCATTGAGCCTATTAGTAAAGTGCAAAGGAAGGTAGATATTAGTTTTGCTATTAATACTTTATTATTGTTATTGTTTCTTATCATAAGATGTTTCAGAATGAGCTGTTCTATCATAGAAAAACTTAGTTGGAGTCTAGTTAGCCATGTCTCCAACCCTGTCTCCCATACTGATTTTCATATAAGGTTTATTTACTCCAAATTTAAAGGACAGATTTCAGATAAGGAAAGATCTGTGTAAGCACTTAATCTAGAAACTCTTTTGCTTATCTGTCTTGACCCCTTGCTTACAAATGGGAGAAAGGTGTCCACCTCTCTTCTGATGCATTTGTAAATAAAGAACTGTATGTTCTCAGGTTTCAAATTTTGTGTTGTTGTCTTTATGGCTTGAATTATTAAACATGGTTTATGGCTTAATAAAGTTGTTTTTGTAAAATATATTTAGAAAGTTAGTATGGCTGTATCAAAGTAAAAACAAATTAAAAAATAAAGCCTACTACTGTTGATGGGAGATAAAGCTTAGGGGTCATTTTTGAAAATTGTTTTCCTGCAAGGCAGATAAGCAGATATTACAAATATATTGTAAACACAGATAATTGACAAGTACGAAAATGATCATATTTAATGTATTTATTTCCCTTTTTTTCCATGAGAACTCCAAGAACCTGGTAGGTGGCAGGTGTCTCATTGCTGTAGGTTGATTAAACTTTTCCAGTGACTTTTCTAAGATCACTCGTTAAATCCAATAGGGAATCATAATACAAGTTCTTTAAGCAGATTAACCAGGAATCTATGGTTTTCTTTTCTACATGTGGTTGCCTTTGCTCTGGCTCTTGTTCCACCATCCCAGACTGAAATACTTCCTCTAACCATTTTGTTTTTGTCACTTTGTCCTCACATTACTGTCCAAATTCCAGCTAATGTCATCTTTACTCACCTGTCAATTTTAACATGAAAAAACTCTGGCTCATGTAAAGTTATACAAAGAACCAACAGAGAAGGTCTACTTATTAAATGGGTTTTGGCAGAAAAAGTAGAAATTATCTAGTTCTGCCCTCTTATTTATCGGGGGAACCTGATACACAAATAGCTCTCTCAAGATGACATAGCTGGTTAGTGGCAAAGCTAAAACAAATAATAGCTAACAGATCAAATATTGTGCTTTTTATACATCATCTGTAATCTTCAAGCAATCTGCATAGGGCTGGTATTAATATTTTCATTTTAAAGATAAGATAATTTAAGTTCAGAAAGGTCCCAGGACTTGGTAAGTCTTGATGCAGAATCCAGACCCAGATTTATTAGTCTCTGAAGCTTATATGCATTACATTCTACCTCTCAGTTATTATAATATGATAAATTCTCTTTGTTTCTAGTCTAACTCTGTAATGTCAAGAGCAGGCAATTTCTCTTATTTGCAAAAATTTAAATTTTAGCCTAAATGCATATATAATAATAATAGTCCTATAAAAAAGAATCCATTTAATAAGATTATCTCTTCCAGATAGAATTTCTGTATTAGGCAGTAGATAATAAAATAGTTAACATAAGTATCATTGGTAAAAGAAAATTGCAGTGTAATATAAACAAAGTTTTAATTATTACAACCAATTAAGCTGAGACAATAACTTAACTGAGAAATGACCAAGAAAAAACGGCCAGTACATAATCAAAGCAGGGCCCTCCGCTTGACAGCATCACAAGACAAAGCACGGCAAAGATGCATTAGGCCCCATAGAAAGCGAATAGACTTGAGAATGTTTCTAAATCATTTTCAGGTGAATGGTGTGGGACTTGGGTAGCAGAGAGACAGCCTCTTCTGTGTCACCCAGTGACCCTGAAATAAGTGAGCATACTCCTTCTAACTCCAGGCTTTAAATAGGAAATTCGAATTTTCTCACACTTTAGAACATTCTTTTCATTCTGATTTGACAAGGCCTCTTTCAAGACAAAAGGAAAGAAAAACAAAACTGGAGGATTCAAACCACTGGACTGTGTGGCCAAGGCATACTGTTCTTCATTTTTTCAAATTCAGGTCATGAGGCCAGCTGTTGTATATGGGAGATGGGATTGGTGCAGACTTCTTGAGCGATGCTCTGTCAGCTGTAGAGAACTGCAGCACTGCTCCCAGCTTGGACGCTGTGGGGTGGGCTTTCTCACCGCTCTGGCTCCCAGTGCTGGAGGAACTGTCTTTGTCTTTGACTAGGATTCTTGTTTCTCCCCTCCCCGCTGATCCCTGAGCCTTAGTGTCAGTCCTGCAGTTGGTGAGAGGCTCAAGGAAAGGCTACTTTAATACAGGAAGGTTATTTTAATAGAGGTGTATTGTCTACGTGAAGAGAAACCCTCAGAGCAGGTTAAAAGAATCTTTAAAGTTATATAATTTTGAATTAATTTCAAATACTGAGATTCTGTTTCAACTGATTTCTAATGTGAACTTGACTTCTTTCCTAGTTGTAGTCACCTGCTCTGATTCTTGGGTGCCTGTGAATATACACAGTGCTGGCTCATCACAGGGTAGCCCTTCTGGTGAGCAGGACAATGGGTCAATTCAGAGTGATGACACAGTAACTGGGGTTTTTAATAACTGCTGTGAGAAGTATCTCCTAATATCTGGCCCTTTACTTGAGAGAAAGCAGAATTATAATGACTGTAAATATAAAAAAAGGAACACATTTCAGTCAGCGTTTAGTACCAAAATTTCTACTTGGCCTGTGATCCTCAATAAGAATCTCTGGCTAAAATTTATGCAAAGAAGATAATAGATGAAAAATAAAACAGTAATCCCATAACTCCTTTTTGAAAAGCTCTCATCCATCTTAATTTAAAATGTTTCCATTTTAAAATTAAAATAATGAAGCAAAAGTCTGTATCTCTTTAACTCTAAGTTGTTTAATTCTACCTGCTACATAATTATGTAATAAGTGGTTGGGAAATATCTGTCTGAGTCAGGATTTTAAAGTTAAAAGTAAATACTGAATCCTGGTTTTGCCATTTGCTATTGTGTAGCTTTGGCTGTTTGTGTAAGTGCATTAATCTTTGGTCTCCTCATCTGAAAAAGGGGGATAGTAACACCCCAGAGGTGGTTTTGAGAATTTCATGAGGTAATATCTCTGAAAAAGCCTAGTGGCTGTTTTGTAGTAGAAAGCTTTTGACATCGTAATGCTTACTGAATTCTTACAAAACAAAACAAAACATTAACTTCACTACGTGATATACAAGGGTTAAGCAACTCATGGCAATCTTTACTTCAAAGAGAACTAAATTCATTTCTGGGGGGAATCACAGGGAGCAAATAGTTTTCATATTTGTTTATTCCCAATTTGAGTTTCTCTCGAGGAAACTTATCTCAGAATTTGACAAGTCAAAACCCCTTTATTGTTAAAACCTGTGAAATCAATATTATTTGGCCTTTATTTTTTATTTGTAAGGGTGAACAGATACTCATCTGATCATAAGCTGCCGTGGTTTAATGCAACATTTTTTATAAGTCATTAGCATTTTCTAAGAAAACTTCATTGTGAAGACAGTTTACACAATGGCTGTAATAGATTAGTGGTTCTTAACTTTTTCTGCTTAAACCCTCCTGAATGATAGGAGATA